CAACCAGATCCAGATGGACCCTGTTGACGAGGAAAAAACGATATTCATAACCGAACTAGGATTGTATTGTTACAAGGTCATGTCCTTTGCCCTTTGGGTAAAAAACGCCGGGGCAACCTTCCAAAGACTTGTAAATGAACTATTTGAGCTGCTTCATGTTCAAGTCGGTAGATCGCTGCCTACATTTTTTCAAGGCAATTAAGAAAAGTAAGGATTTTGAGTGGACCGAAGAATGCCAGCTCGCCTTCGATAAGCTGAAAAAAAACCTAGCTAGCATCTCGGTTCTGACCTGACCCGAGGAGGGAGATGTTTTAAAGTTGTACCTCTCCGCGAGTCGGTACGGATAAAGGAAGTAGATCGGGTCCAACGACCTATCTACTATGTCAGCAAAGTTTTGCAGGACGCCGAAACAAGGTACCCAGAGATCGAGAAACTAGCATACGCGCTGGTCATAGCAGCTCGGAAGCTTCGTCCGTACTTCCAAGCCCACACCGTTGTCGTTCTCACCAACAAACCTCTGAGGCAAATCTTACTCAAGCCCGAGGTATCTGGCAGATTGACAAAGTGGGCCACCAAACTTAGTGAGTACGACATCCGATACGAGCCTCGGACAGCGATTAAGGCCCAAGCCTTGGCCGACTTCGTTGCAGAATGCACCTTCAGCACCGTAGTCCCCGAATTGAATGAGCTCGAGCACAGAGTGGAAGCTTCAATCAGTGCGGCACCAGCCCTGGTTAGAGCAAGGCCGACCTGGGACAAGGAGCCCTGGATCCTCCACGTAGACGTTTCATCTAATCAACAAGGATGCGGAGCCGGCATTATTTTGTACGGGCCAAGCGGGGTGAAGCTGGAGTACGCACTTCGGTTCGAGTTCGTAGCATCTAATAATGAAGCGGAGTACGAAGCACTGATAGCCAGACTCACTCTAGCGAAAAAAGTGCAAGCAAAACACATCATCAGCTGTAGTGATTCCCAGCTCGTGGTCAACCAGGTCACCGACGATTATGAAGCTCGCGACCCCACCATGGCTGCTTATCTAGCCAAGGTCAGGGAAGTTCTACGCAGCTTCCAGTCATATTTCATCAAGCAAATTCCAAGGTCCAAGAACGCTGAAGCCGATGCCTTGTCCTAGTTAGCCAGTACAAGTAGCAACACTGAGGACCGTGTATATAAAGAACCTACCTCAGCCCAACATTCTCGGGGGGGGGGGGTAGAAGAGGTCGCTCCTGTCGCACAAGTAGAGCTGAACTGGATTGACCCACTCGCAAGCTACCTACTTCACGAGACCCTCCCTACAGATCGCAACGCAGCCAGAAGGGTAGAGCGCCAGGCAGCCAAGTACGTCATGATAGACGGGATGACTGTACCGAAGATCCTTCTCGCTCCCCTACCTGCGCTGCTTGCGACCCTCAAAGGCCGAGCCCGTTCTTCGTGACACTCATGAAGGTCTGTCTGGCGGACACCTGGGGGGAGGGCTCTCGCCAAGAAAATGCTATGGCAGGGGTACTACTGGCCCACAATGAAAGAAGACGCACTCGAGCTTGTCAAGAAGTGCGATAAATGCCAAAGGCACGCCAACATCCACCACCGACCTGCTGCCGACCTAAAGTACCACACTAGCTCATGGCCCTTCGTATAGTGGGGGATCGATATTCTTGGCCCGTTCCCGCCAGCGACAGGGCAAAGGAAATTCCTGGTGGTTGCGGTGGATTACTTCACAAAGTGGGTGGAGGCGGAACCCCTAGCAACAATCATAACCTGAAGCGTACAAAACTTCTTTTAGAGGAATATAATATGCCGCTTCGGGTTACCTCGGGAGCTTATCTCTGACAATGGTAAGCAGTTAGAAGATATCAAGTTCCAAAGTTGGTGCGCTGAGATGGGGATACAATAGAACTTCACTTCGGTGCAACACCCTCAGGCAAACGGGCAGACGGAAGTCACGAATAGAGCTATACTCCGTGGACTAAAAGCCCGCTTTGCCCGAGCTAAAGGACTATGGGTAGACGAGCTACCTAGTGTATTATGGGCCTACCAAACTACCATGAAGACCGCCACAAGTGAAACCCCCTTCAACCTCACCTATGGCACGGAAGTAGTGATCCCAGCTAAGATAGAGGTACCTACGCTACGTCTAGAAGCTTACGACGAAGAAACCAACGATGGTGAGCTCCGTACCAACCTCAACCTGGTGGAAGAAGTTTGAGACCTCGCATATATCCGGACCGCAGCCTACCAGTAAAGAGTGAGTCGGTACTATAACGCCCGGGTCAAGAAGCGGCACTTCCGTGTCGGAGACCTGGTCTTTTGGAAAGTTATGGTGCCTGAGCCCGGTGTCGGTAAGCTCGGACCAAACTGGGAAGGTCCCTACCGAGTAAAGCGGGTACTCGGGGAAGGTACGTACGAGCTCGAAACCTTAGAAGGAAAATAGGTACTTCAAGCGTGGAACATCAGCAATTTAAGGCGATACTACCTGTGATCGTCGAACTGGAGAGCGGACTGCGAATCACTCCCAGAAGTCCAAGGACTAAAGTGTCGAGCTGATAAAAGACCTCGGCATCATATAAGTCCTAGTCGCCTCTTCGGTATAGGCGATCAAGTCCCAGTCGCCTCCTCGGCATGGGCATATAAATCTTAGTCGCCTCTTCGGCATAGGCAAAGTACTTCTAATGCCTAAAACGTAGACAGCTCGGGTGTAAGCCTTACGATGTCTAGCCCACTTCGGCATATAACAACATGTTGGGCCTGTTAGGGACAACCAACATTTAAATGAGTAGCATGTGCGCGGACTGGTCAAGTATATACCCTGCAATGTCGCCCACCTCAGCATACATTACGTAAAGTTGCCCCTACTAAGCTATCAGGAAGACGATAGCGAGCTACTAAGTACATTAGCCTATCCGAGATCAAAGTAGAAGGATCGAAGTCGTCTGGATCCCGACCCCGGGAAGAAGAAGGGGCCTCCATTCTAGAGGATGGTCCCTCTTCCCGAACCTTGGTCTCCCCGAGCCGAGATGACTTAACTTCGGGCACTGAAGTTCCCTCCAAAGACCGAAGAGGGGAGTCACCCAGCAACGAGCTGACCTCCCCAGCAGGGGCCGCTGATTGCACCTCGGCACCCTCAACCTCACTAGAGTTACCTAAGAGCCTATCTATGCTAGAGATTGACATGATTAAAAACAAAGGAAGAACAAACTTAGAAAAAACACGAACTCACCAAGAGAAGAGTGACCTCAGAAAACGAAGAAGGAAGTAGCGAGCTGAAGGATTCCGACGCGACCTCAGAACGAAGACTTGTGAATTTGTGGCGAGAAAAATGAGTCTCGACCCCCCTATTTATAACCGCTATGTCCGAAAACTAACGGTCGAGATCGAAGCAATCCAACAACTCCTAGGAAAACCAGTTGCGCGACCCTCGAGGATCGGTTCAACGCGTTTTTTGACGTCCACGGAGTGTATAGATCACGTGACGTCTGCGCGTAGACTAGACGCGACCTGGGTTTTTCCTGGTTGAGCCGGGTGGTCGAATAAGTCCGACCAGTGATCCATCTGACTAGATGCTTGGACCTCGGACCAAATCCACTTGGCTCATCATGAACTCTCCGCATTGGGTCGGGACCCCTGCCTCGGGGAGTGGGGGGAAATTGATGAAGGGTGATTTGGCCCGACCTAGTAATAGGAGGACACGTGGACACAACCTAACTAGCAGGATGACAACTCATTCCGACACGCCAAGTCTGCAACGGATCGAGCTCGGTTAACCAAACCACCTCGAGACAAGTCCACCTCGGGACGAGTCCACCTCGATGTAAGGTCCCATCAGGACCACCTCGGTTCTAAGGCACTTCGGCGTTCATACTAGGTTGGAAAATGTATAAACCGCAAAAATAAACAACAAAAATTATGAAACATTTAGAAAAACTATATAATGCAAAGAAAATACAAAAATTACGGGAAACACAAAAAATTGGGAAAATAAAAAATTCAGGAAAACAACAAAAATTATAATAGAGCAAAAAATGCAAATAAATAACATAAGTATAAGAAAACCAAATGTAAAAAATGTAGAAAATTACAAAAAGTGATGTATTTTTTTTTTAATTTTTTGATACAAGAAAACAAAATGTAAAAAAAACGTAGGAACTTTTTTCATAGAAGTTTCCATCTTTTTTTAAATTAATAGAAAATTTTGAGAAATGTAAAAAAAATATAAAAAAAATTGAGAAAATATATTACTTGCAGTGGATCTGTTTTGCAAACCCAAATCTGTTTCACAGAGGAAGACAATGAACACAAATCTGGTTTGATCTCTTCGATCTAAGTCTATGAACCCAGATCCCTTGATCCGTGTCCCAAATCTCTTTGATCTATGTCTATGAACCCATACCTCTTTGATCTATGTTTGCGAATCCTTTGCCATGGCGAAAAGAAGAGAGATATTTTCTATGCGAAGCCAAATTTGGAAGAAGAAGATCGAAGAGATTTGAGTTCTGGCATATATATATATATATATAAAGAGAGAGAGGAGGGAGTGACTGATGATTTTGATCGTTGGCTAAGAATAGCGACCTCCTTCTCCCTTTGACCTGGCGACTAGCAGAACAGAGAAAAGGTTCCACCCTAACTCTTTTATTTTTAAGTTTTGACCCTTCCCTCGATCCATCTAAGCCCTAACCCTTTACAACCCAATGACTATCCTCGACCCAACCCGTCTTGACCCTCTTACCCAAATGAATGATTCACTCATAATGGCCCATATCTTAAATGGGTGGGTATAAGGGTTATTGAGTGGGTCAACATTGCCACCCCCAACCCCTAAGTCTACGAGAGATTGAGAAAATGTGATGGACCAATTGAGCTTTCTGATTAATTGTAGCGAAGAGTTAGGTTCAAATCCCTCTTACACACAGTGTCAGGTGGTGGGGGCGTGCAAAATCAAGCGGTGGACATCGCGTCGACAAGTTAAAGCTAGGGTTTGTCACTCACCTGCTCCTGGTATTTAAGCGATACCGCTAAAACACAGGCGGTGCGGTGCAGTTCGAGCTGCCCTCCTAGGAGTATCATTTCTCGTCTCCGAGTCTCGTCGTCGTCCGTTCGTCCTTCCGTTCGGATCTCCGACCATTTATCCCTTTATATCCTTCCCTCTCCTCTTTTATTATTCTGAAAAAGCAAAAAAAAGAAAAAATCTAAAAAAATTCAATTCAGAGAGAGGGAGAGAGAGATATCAGTTCCAATCTCACCAGCTTTGTTCATTTGCGATTAATTGGGTAAATCTTTGAGGTGTTTTGTGGAGTATCCGGTGTGTTTGTCTTTTGGATTTCATTCATTTCGGCGTGGAAGCAGAGATAGTGTTCTCTTTTATTTTATTTTTTTTTTTAAATTTCCTCTAGGGTTCATTTCCAATAACAAGAGGAGAGGGAAGAAAAAAGAAAAAAAATAAAAAATAAAAAAAAAGTTTAAAAAGTGAGAGGGAGTGTGGTCGTCAAGGTTGGAGATCGCTAGGGTTTTTGAGATGGCGCAAGTTCAGGTCCAACCACAGCCTCCTCCTCTCTCTGGTCCGAATGGGCCGGCCAACAGTGGTGGCAATCAGTTCGTCTCGTCGTCTCTGTATGTTGGAGATCTTGAATTCAACGTCACCGACTCGCAGCTCTACGATCTGTTCAGCCAACTCGGCCAGGTCGTGTCGGTTCGTGTTTGCAGGGACTTGAGCACTCGACGATCCCTTGGTTATGCCTATGTCAATTTTAGCAACATCCAAGATGGTTAGTCTTTACGTTGATTTGCCTACTTTTCGATTAGAATTCTTATCGTTGATGGTCTAAATGATTTCATTTTTTGGTTTTCCATTATTTTCCTGCAAACTGTTTTGAATTAATTTCTGCCTATTTCTTTTCTCATTCTTGAGCATCCTGGCACTGATTGACATTTGATTGAATATGGCCTTTGCATTGTCTTCTGATTTCTACATATCGCTGTTTGTTATATACCTATATGAACTAAGGATGAATATATAATTTCGTAATGTAATACCTGTGGCTTTTATGTCTTTGATTTTAATGGTTATCTGTTTTATCTGGTATTTTAGAAACCATCTAAATGACTTAGCCCGTGGCTGAAGGTTGTCCAATGGTGTCAAGGTTGCTTGTGGCCTCTGCATGGAGATTGGATCCAATGTCATGCTCATGCATTTCTTATAGGATGTAGTGATCATTTTTTTCTTTATATTTTTTTGGGGATGGGTTAAAGTTTCATCTGGAGCGATGATGAAATTTGTCGAAGAAATCAGGTTTGTTAATATTTCTGTATTGCTTGCTCTATAGTTTCCATGGTTCATACGGTTATGCCATTCATATTCAGAATTCACTTTAATGGATTTGATGAGTGGAAATTGGAAGGTATATTAAGACATAAGCTGTGTCTTCCGGAATTTCCAATACTCCAAGCTTTAGAATTATTCACAGACCTTGATGTGGCATTTTTATGTGCTTACGAGTCCTCAGAACTGAGGCCATATATATGTATGTATGTATGTATTGTATGTATTGTCACCTTGAATTTTACCCCCTACAGTCTGTTTCAACAACTGGGTTCTGTGTGTTTTTTGTGTGCTCCTCTCTAATCTCCATACACAAACATGGGCTTTCCCTGCCTCCTCTAGTTCCATGTGCTTGCAAGTTTGCCTTGGTTCTGCTTGACATCAGACTAGTGCCTAGATCTCCTGTAGCCTTTATTATGTTTTATTCTGTTGGTCATATTGATCAAATGGGTTCTAATCATTTCTCAAAAAAAAAGGGGTTCTAATCATATCCAACAAACTATTGCATGCATGATTTTTTTCCTGTTCCCGACCATGCATCATTATACATCATGCACTCAGTAACTCATCAAGTTCTAGTTGCAGGTTATGATACCCAGATACCTATACAGGGCTGCTTTATCATGTTGGATACTTCAGTTTTTAGTGTCAACTCCATATATGTATTCAGCCTTGTTTTTACTGTGTCTGGGTAACATAGGTTGCAAGTTGCGTCTTGTTAAATTTCATTTTCCTTGTAGATTTGGATGCATTTCAAGTTATGCTTCTTCTTTTATTAGTCTTTTTGATGTGCTTTTTTCTTGTGTTCTCATCTGACTACAAAAGTTGGGTTCTGAAGAAACAAGTCTACTTGCTACATGAGGTTAAATACATTGAACATGTCTTGTAGTTACATGCTTTTTTCTCCACATTATGACTGTAACCTGTTATTTTTTCTTGTTTATTGTTATGTATATGAATGATTTTATGAAGTTTTATTGCTATTGAGTTTGAAATAGTTCTCCTGTATTGAATTGAAAACCCATTTTGTATTTTTGGTACTCATGAATCTTATTCTTGTCTATATATAGTTGTTGGCCTGTTTAATAAGCATGCCATGAACATGTAGCCCCAAAAAATTTACCATGAGAAAAAGCTTGAGGTTATGATATTGAAGGATATGAGCATCTTTTTGTTTTCTTCTTTTAGAAAATATTGTTGTGAAAACAAATTTGCCTGTTTTGAATCTCATTCTTAACTATGCCAGCGGCAAGGGCTTTGGATGTACTTAACTTCACTCCTCTCAATGGAAAACCCATCCGCATTATGTATTCTCATCGTGATCCTAGCATTCGTAAAAGTGGAACTGCTAATATATTTATCAAGGTACCCGCTATTTGTTTGGTTATTTTCTGCAGCACCATCTGAATTATACCATATTTTGGATTGTGTAAGATTGACTTTTTCCATATAAAACATTGTGTTTTGGATCAAACTTGCAGAATCTGGACAAGGCAATTGACAACAAGGGTCTTCATGAAACTTTTTCCACATTTGGGAACATTCTGTCTTGCAAAATAGCTACTGATCCTTCTGGCCAGTCAAAAGGGTATGGATTTGTTCAATTTGACAATGAGGAGTCTGCACAAAATGCCATAAATAAGCTCAATGGCATGCTGATAAATGATAAACAAGTCTATGTTGGACCATTCCTTCGTAAGCAAGAGAGGGAATCAGTGATAAACAAGGCAAAATTCAATAATGTTTTTGTAAAAAATCTCTCAGAGGCAACCACTGATGAAGATTTAAAGAAAATATTTGGTGAATATGGAACAATTACTAGTGCAGTAGTGATGAGGGATGGGGATGGTAAATCCAAGTGTTTTGGATTTGTTAACTTTGAGAATTCAGATGATGCTGCTAATGCTGTTGAAGCACTTAATGGAAAGAAATTTGATGAGAAAGAGTGGTATGTAGGAAAAGCACAGAAAAAATCTGAAAGAGAGCAAGAATTGAAAGGGAGATTTGAGCAGAGTATGAAGGAAGCAGTTGACAAATTTCAAGGTGTTAACTTGTATGTGAAGAACTTAGATGATAGCATTAGCGATGAAAAACTGAAGGAATTATTTTCTGAGTTTGGCACAATTACTTCGTGCAAGGTCTGTGTTATACCGATTGATTGAGTAATGACTGTAATTGACCATATTTCCTTAATTTTATTGAGCTGCTACTGATATTTTTTCCCCTTTTTGGTTGGGGGGGTCTTAACAGGTTATGCGAGATCCAAATGGGATAAGCAAAGGTTCAGGGTTTGTTGCCTTTACAACTCCAGAAGAAGCATCTCGAGCTGTAAGTTGATTTCTTGTGCATATTCCATACAGTTGGACAGTGATCAATAAACTAATTATTTAACTTGTGCTTGTTTTTCAGCTAGCTGAAATGAATGGCAAAATGGTTGTCAATAAGCCTCTTTATGTTGCACTGGCACAGAAAAAAGAAGATAGAAGAGCAAGGCTGCAAGTATGTTTTAACCATTCTGTTTGCATGGAGTGTACATCTTCTTATTATATTTGGGGGGGGGGCTGGGGAGTTCAGAAATGCTGTTATTTTACCTTTTGTACTATTTTTTTCTAACTTGTGTCTGAGGTAAATTTGGTATGTGGTTTGCTGGTGCATCTATTACTTTTCTGTGTTCCAGAAAAAAATAAGAATCCTAAATTGTTGCTTTCAAGTGGAAAAAAAGTTGGCCATTTCCACCATCATTATGGGTATTTACTTTGTTTTTGAGGAATACAGTTCTTTTCCATCTTCATTGCTATATATTTCCAGCAGTCATTTGTTGTGTATCACTTATGGTTTCATGTTTTGTACACCTTGAGTTATGCTGTAACATCGATGTTTGCCTTGTTATTGTTTATATAGGCACAATTTTCACAAATGCGGCCAGTTGCAATGTCACCTTCTGTTGCTCCTCGCGTACCCATGTATCCCCCTGGTGGTCCAGGTCTTGGACAACAAATATTTTATGGTCAAGGACCACCAACACTCATTCCTCCTCAGGTAATCCACTTTTAAGCTGGTTAATTATGTCAACTCTTTTTTTTACTTTTAATCCATCTCCTATCCAAGGTTCAAAATATTGATACGCCGGTAGGGGCGTATTAGGCGATATCAATAGTTTTTTTTTTTAACTTTTGTTTTGTTTCAAAACCGGTTCAGGGGGACCGGTTTAGGGCTCCTCCACCCCCTGAACCAGTCAGACCCCCGATACACCCACTGTAGGAGTGTATCAGAGAGGTCTCGGAACGATACGGGCCGATACGTAACAATTTTTTGATCCTTGCTCCTATCTTGATTTGTGTCTATATGATTTGAATATCTTAGAATTTTTTAAATAATTAGTTGGTTAAAATTTCTAAATATACATTATAATTGTGGCTTGATGCCTTGTTCACATCAACATTATCTTCCCTTGTATCCTTAAGTTTCTTCCTTGAATGAAAATCTTTTCTGTCTGAGCTCAACATTTTATCCCCCAGATCTGTTCTTTAATTGCAATTATATGTCATTTGGGATGAATCTATAATACTTTTGCAACCCATGAATTGATAATGCTTTGATAAGATGAAGTGACACGTTCTTCCTGTGTCAGAAACAAAAAAATCATATTAAGTTTGGTAACTTTGCTATTGTCAAAATGATAAAACTGAACTTGGTCAAGTTCTGAAAGTTAAAAAGTAGTTGCTTACAAAATTGCTACAATTCAACTAGGGTTATGAACGAAAATAAACTTCTTTCTAAAATGATACTGCTAACAAGGCCTTGAAGTGGATGTTGTGGAGAACTTTGATATATACCGTGAATTCACCCTGCTTTGGTGAGCTTATTCCAAGTAATAATAAACAGATCATAATCATTGGTGCGGTTATATCGTTTATTCTGTAACTTGTCTTGCCTCATTCTTTCTGAAGCTTAGCTTTTTATGTACAAATGTTTATTTGGTGTTAGACTTTGTTAATGATGAACTTGTTTTCAATTTACCATTTGGCAGCCTGGATTTGGTTACCAGCAGCAGCTTGTTCCTGGAATGAGGCCTGGTGGGGCTCCAATGCCAAATTTCTTTGTACCATTAGTTCAACAAGGCCAGCAGGGACAACGAACTGGGGGCAGACGTGCCGGGGCAGGGCCTGTACAACAAAGCCAGCAACCAGTGCCTTTAATTCAGCAGCAGGTGAGTGGTACCCCCTCCCCTTTGCATTTCAATGCAATTGGGCATTTTATCTGACTTATTTCTTTCAAATTAAAGATGCTTCCGAGGGGGCGTGTATACCGTTACCCACCTGGTCGTAACATGCCTGATGTTCCCATGTCGGGAGTTGCTGGGGGCATGCTTTCTGTTCCATATGACATGGGTGGCATGCCATTGCGAGATGCTGCAATGTCACAGCCTATTCCTATTGGGGCTTTGGCTACTGCCCTTGCAAATGCAACACCAGAGCAACAGAGAACGGTATGCTTTTTGAGTCATTGCACCCCGTATTCACGTGTATCTTGCTTTTATGTAGAAGATTATTAGCCTTTGTGTTCACTATTTTTTTTGTTTTTTTAGATGCTCGGTGAAAGTCTTTACCCTCTAGTGGATCAGCTGGAGCATGATATGGCAGCCAAGGTGACAGGCATGCTCCTGGAGATGGACCAGACTGAGGTTTTGCATTTGCTGGAGTCACCCGAAGCCTTGAAAGCAAAGGTGGCTGAAGCGATGGAAGTTCTGAGGAATGTTGCTCAGCAACAGCAGGCTAACAGCCCAACCGATCAATTGGCTTCTCTTTCTCTTAATGATAACCTTGTTTCCTAAATGCTTAATCGAGTGAGTTATTGGTTGCAGCCTATGACAGCTTGGTTTTGAGTTTTTGATACATTCTTTTAAGTTTCTTTGATATGATAGGATATTCTCGTGTTGTAGGGATCTTTAGGACTGGAGATTTTTATGCTTTGATTTTGGTTTGAAGTTTGCCTATCAATGAACTTTACTTTATACCCCGATTAATTGGTTAGAAGTTTTTCCGGTATCAGAGTCGAATTCTACGATACTATAATGCTGCCCGAAAGACACGATACGACCTTTGACCAATCAACCCCGTGAATTTTCGTAAATATTATCTGATTGCTAACTACTTTTATGATGCTGGTTGATTGATCCAAAGCCTTGCACTGGTCGAGGGCAATCATTTTTATGCATCCACGATTGGTAACCACTTTCAGGAGTTCTTGTGTGATATTTGCCCGTTCCCATGAGGTTTATTTTTGGCCCTTGAGCAGGTTTCCAGCCTTCTGCTACTGCAAGGTGTCTTGTTGTCATTGCCTAGTTGGTGTTGGAGTGAGTTTGCCAAGGATTTCGATGCCAGAGGAGTATCACTGCCCAATAGAAAGGTGCTGATCGTTGATATGGTTCTTGATTTTATTCGGTGTTAAAGGTTATGGCTTAGGACGTGAATTTAACTTCACAAACGTGGTTTATCACTTTATCTAATATTTTGAGTTAAACTTGTGCTCTACTTAGTGGGTAGTGGATAAGCTAAATTTCATAGAGTTGTGAAACGGATTTTAGTTAATTCTGGAACTAGATTATACATGTAAATTAACCATCCCTTTAATGTTAGCCAGCACAAGCTGCGCAACCAAATACCATTTCTTACCTCGAACAGGAAAAGTCTTACCAAGAATAGCAACAATGAGATCTGTAATTTGTATGTCATCTTTCTTAGACCATGTAAGAACACTTAAGAAGCAAGTCATGTGGCTGAGGTGATTTCTGAGGGATGAAAATGAGTAGATAGATGTCCTTGTAAAAAGATTAAGGCCTCGTTCGCTTTTTGGCAAGTTATTTATCCGGTTAAATGCAATTATCCAGGTAAGTTCTCTTTGGGAAACACTTACCCAGGTTATGCATGTTCTTTTATTTCCCAGGTAAATAAGGTAATGACCATTTTAGTCATAAAAATCCGTTTTTAAAAGGGGTACTTTTGTCCCATTTAAGTGTTAGGAACTTTTTTCCTAGTTGGGAAGTGATATCCAAGAGAATAAACTTTTCCTAGTCCTCACATTAATCTAAAAAATGAACATGGGATTCCCCCCTCTCAAAATCCAAGAAATGAACGCCGCCTACGTGATACAACACTGGGGAAAATTTTATATCATCATCCAAGTCTTATCCAGACTATATGGGGTTAGGCAACATGAATCCTGTTTCACTCTTCCATTAGGCAATACAAATCCTGTTTCACTCTTCCATTTAACGATACATCCATTGTAAAATGATTAGCACTTAAATAATTTTTAACTTATTTGACCCATGTCCTTTTTGCTCTACCTAGGGGTGCAAATGGACTAGGTCATGATGTGACCCAAATTTGAATTTGGTCCTATTTTGTTGGATTCAGATATCCTCTTGTCTGATTTTTGGATCAAATCGGATCATATTAGTTGTTTATTTGTTAATATGTTTATATTGCACTTTTGTAATTTAATATTCTTTTTTTTATAAAAGGACATGTATATATATGAGAAAAATAATTGAAAAAATGATTCTATTTTTTGTAATTTTTCCTTTAATAATTTGTTAAATTTTATAGAAATTAAATCAAATCGAATCAAATTCATATATCCATCCATAATGGATTCAAATTTGATTTGACCTTTGTGAGATCCAATTGGATCTTCATATTCGATCAGATTCGAATATACCCCGGTTCACATCCAATTTGATCCATTTGCATCCCTAGCCTTTTTAGTCTCTTTAACTTGCAATAGATCACTTCTTAAGAGTGTTCGTGGTTTCTATGCACTTCACCAAACCATCTTAGTTTATTTTTGATGAGGGGTAATTTGGCCCTCCAATGACATCACGCATTTGGCACTATCGAACCGTTGCATAACACCTCGACGCCACGTAGGCAATGACATGTGTCTTTGCCAAGTTGGTTGAGCACACCTTGGATGCACCTCACACACCTTGAGAGGGCCTAGCACCACCTCGACTAAGGGTTAAGTCATACGCACCTTGGTAGAAGTAGACTAGTGATCTCGTCAAGATTAGGCCAAGTACCTCGTCATGAGGGGTGACCTCCCGCCGAGGTCTTACCGACTTGATTGAGATCTAGGCGGTGACCTGTGTGACATGGCGACCGGCCTCCACTACGTGTGATTTATCGTCTCTGAGTCCTCTGGGATCACATCGCTTGATCGATGGAGCTGGCCCCCGTGCCACCCGCTTTGGAGATAGCCGGATAAGCTTTAACACTTTACGCGAAAACCACCTCCAAGCGTTATGGGTCGATAAGCTACGTCTTCCCAGAGATCTCGGACGCGCTACATCAGGCTCACAGCTACCTGCACCTATATAAAGGCACCCCTTAAAACTAGAAAAGGTACGCACAATTTGACTCTCATATTCTCTAGCTCTCTCACTTCCTAGCATTCTCAAATACTCTTTGCTGACTTGAGCATCAAAATGCCCACCTTGAGTACTTTGACTGTTCTCTTGCAACTCGGCCAAATGACCTCGTTAGCCCAACGTCCGAGCTGTCTTCTAGTAGGGGGCTACCAAATCACACACCATCAATTGGTACTGTATGTGGGATCCACTACAAAAAGCTAAATTCTCACCAACATTTTGCTAAGTAAGCAATGGACTCAACAACCAACAACAACAACAACAACAACAATGCCGACAATGTTCAGATTAACAACACTTCAATCGGGGGGCAGGATCAACCTGTCGAGAACACATCAACCCAGAATGTCCAAATTGGATAGATTTCAATCTCTCTAACACTGCCAAACATCCCAGTGTTGCTAGGATAGAGCCTCTCGACATTGCCCGCTTCTACTGTGCCTCCCCCGTAGGTTGAGCCATCAGTGGTTCCTGTTGGGGTTGATGGCCAATAGTTTCAGGTGGTGCAATACATCCGGAACATCGACTTGCAGATGTAGAGTTGGGAAGGTTATCTCAATGCAATGGCCTAGATGCAATCTCAATTCATACCCAGCTTGTGGATGTTGCAGGTACCTTAGTAGCACGCTGCCGACTAGATCCCACTCCAACAGTAGTCCTGAACCAATAACCTAGCAACCAAAATCAGAACCAGGTGCAAAAGCCCCTTTGTTAGCAAAACATCTCTCTCACCAACAACACACAATCACTTGGGACCTCCAACTTGGAGAGCACTCACACCTCAGAAGCTTGGGATTCAACATATGTCCCAAGTGAAGAGACCAGTCGGGCCCGCAAACACTGACTCCACTGAGGGGTCCCAAAGAAGACACTAAAGATGTACCCGACGTGAGCCTGGAAAAAGTCATTTCACCCTAAAGGATGAAGAAGCCCAAAAGAAAGAGGAAGAAGTGAGTCTGGCTAGCACATCATCCATACTGCACGTCTCTTGCACCTTCCCGTTGTTGGCTGAGATCCTTGTGGCCTCTCGACCCAAGGACTTCAAGGTCCGCAACCTTGAGTCATACGATGGCACTAGCGACCTAGTGGATCACATTGAAAGTTTCCAAGCCCTAATGTAGTTACACAGGGCCTCTGATGCAAGCCTGTGCATGGCCTTCCCGACTACTTTTTGGGGCACAACTTGGATATGGTATTCCGAGCTAACTGCAAACTCTATCCAAACCTCGGGGTAATTCGTGGACCTATTCACAACCCACTTTGCTACCAACATGCATTACCCAAAGTCAGCTACTAGTCTAATGAACATGGTACAACACCATGACGAATTGCTTAGAAACTACGCCAAGCAATTTAACCAAGAAAGGCTACAAGTTCCAACCCTCGACCCAACCGTCCAACTCAACAGTTAATGGTGTCCGACACCCCGACCTACGCTAGGAAATCGAGTTGAATCCTCCTACCAACATGGAGGAGTTCATCAAGTAAGTGGGCAAGTATATCAAGGCAGAAGAGGCACTCAGTTCTAGGAACAAACTGGGCGGGAAGAGAAGCAGGTTGGAAGATGATCAGGGTGGCAACAACAAGAATAGGAAAAGAAGTAGGTCGCCCAAATGGAGTAGGTCTCCTCACTATAGAACTAGGTCCCCAAGAAGAAGCAGCAGGTCGTCCAACAGACACTCCCGGACTCCCCCTGTTAAGTCTAAGAATTACACATCGCTTAATGCCAAAAAGGGAGAGATTTTGTTGGATATTAAGTTGGCGGAGGATCTGAAGCAGTCGGCTCCATTGAAAGAAAATTCAGCGAATTGGAATCAGGACAAATACTGCCACATCCACATAGAAAAGGGGCACGAAACAAAGAACTATCAAAACTTGAAGGATGAGATTGAGGAACTAATCAAGAGGGGATACCTGAAGAAGTTCATCAATAGAGACGACCACCTTGCCAATCAACCAAGGAGAAGAGGCTCCACCGAGGAAAGAATAACCCCTGCAAGAACAACAACAAAATGACCCCCTGCTCCAAGGAATCATTTACATGATCACAGGCGGGCTGTAGCACCTCGACTGGTTGAACCTTAGTTCATGAGCTGGTCCATGAAGCTAAAAAACCCACCGAAGTGACTGCACATAGAGGAAGTGATCTATTTTATAGAAGATGACATGCATTGACTCCACTACCTTCACAACGACGCCCTCGTAGTGAAGCTTGTTATCCACGATAAGGTGAAGCGCATCCTTGTAGATTTCGACAGCTCAATGAATATATTGTTCTTGGAGGCATTTGAGCAGATGGGGTTGCAAAAGAAGGACCTCACCTCGGCCGAAGTACCACCCCTGGTCGGCTTCAACGGCGAGGTGATTCAGCTTCTCAAAAGGATAAACTTGTTAGTAATAGCGGGTCTGCACCAAACAACAAGAGATTCAACCATGACTTTCTTGTAGTAGCAATAGCGTCGGCCTACAATGCATTATTGGGCCGCCCGATCCTACATGCCCTAAGTGCGGTGGTATCCACATACCACCTCGCAATGAAATTTCCAACTGACTTCGAAGTGTAAGTAGTGCACAGAGGCCAGCTGGAGTATCGCAGGTGCTATGTAGAAACCTTAA